TGATATATTGTGTTTTTGACATAGATTAGGTGTTCTTTACTAATGGTTTTAATGGTTTTATCGAGTCTTTCCAGTTGTTTTTAGTCATTACAGGTTGAAGAGTTCCGGAGATGAGGAGAACGATCGTGTGGAAAGAGAAGAGTAGAGAGGAATCCGTTTTGAAGATTTTCCTTAAGCGAACAGTCTGGCAAGATGTTCCCCTGCGATCAGAACAGTTTGTCAAGCTGTTCCGCGACAATCTAGGAATTAAAGACTCTATCTCGGGATTTGCCCTAGTTTTCCCTTCTTTTCTTTTCTGCCGCCTATGGCTTACTATATATTCTTCTTTTATTTTTCCTAGGCTTTTCACCTTAGTTCTTACGCAAGAAAGACTTGAGAGCTTGATTTTGAGCAATTGCTACTTGTAAGGGAGACGGCTTCATCTATCTCCTTGAGAAGATCATCCTGAACCCTCTTATTTCATATCTATTTTACATGCAGTATTATTCAGAAATCATGCTCTGTTCTTGTGTTATGTCTGAGTAGTCACCAAGTTAGTTTAGGGTTATAGGGATTGGTTTCGTTGGCTGAGCTTAGATAAGTTAACCTGAGATTGTCTACATTCATATTCTCACCTTAATGCTTGCATCGAATTGATCACTTGTTGCATGAACCAAGATTAATTGATTTAGCTAATCGTTAATTAATAATCTGATACGAATTGAATGAGCTTAACATCCCTAGTCAGCGAGAGTAGATATTAGGGTGTTCTGTGAACTAATCGGACTTGATCTCTAAAGCTTGCTGTCCTGTCTTGTTCCAAACGACAGTTTAGGTATCAAGGCAGTTCTGCAAAGGCGATCAACACCACGACAGTGGGTTGATTCAAACAGAGTGATCCGAGTTTGGACTCGTGAATATTGGACTTGAATAGCAGCTCGGCTAGCGAACTCCTTTCCCGTTAGGAAACCCTAGACTAGCGCCTTTACCCTCTTGAAAACAACCTTCGTTTGTTACTTGTCTTTTAAGTTATTTCTTTTACCTTAAAAACCCCCTCTTGTTTTAGCTATATTCTGATCCCACAAGAATAAAGTGTAGGCTGGTCCTCTGGAATTGAATCTAAATATATTACAATTACACTGTTAACTTGACAGTAGACAAAGATCCAATTTTAGTGTATCA